TCAGAGCTATTTAACCAATTACTAAAGTATTCGGTTGTGATCCGATTATTGCTTGAACTGCATACTATAAAATCCATACCCAATTTATTTGTAATAAAAATTATTTGCATGACTTATTGATATTGAAATTTTGGGGAAATAATAAAAAATGCATAAATTTAAAATGGCAATCAGCACATAATTTATTGCATATCTGAAATTGGAACAAAAACTCCATAAAATTATATAAATTCGATCGTTAACTGAAAAATTTATATTCAACAAGCAATTTGATTTATTTCACATCATAATCCATATAACCGATATATGTATCTGACAAGTAACTATTTTTCGAAGAGAAATAAAGTTGATAAATATTAAAAATATTATATATTAACGTGACACTTGAAAAAATAAATCTTACCCAAAGAGTTTTTACTGAAGATATTATTTTGTTTTCGATGCAATAAAATTAACAAATTATTAAATCATAAAGATACTGAAAATGAAACCATTTTTTAAAAATTAAAAATGTATTTTTACTAAAATACTAAAATCCCACTGTGTCTTATGTGCATAGCTGATATCTAGAAGGAATCAAGAAGTTTGAAGAACTAATTAAATATCGGATTGAATTATGAAATGAAAGATGATTTTTATATGCCTTATAAAAAAAGATTTCCGCTCTCCCCTTTTTGATTCACGTAGCTCTGGTATTTTAAAATATAAAAAATGCTTTTGTATTTATTGCTAGCCGAATTCAACCAATTTTGAAACGTTCACTACGTTGTTTCAATCATGTCGATGTTCAGTTTTTCATTTTGCTTATATATTAAATGTATTTTTAATAAATGTTATCAATTCGAAATTGGTAGATCAGCTATTACTTATTTATTTTTTTTTTGTTTTTCATATCTAGTGTTGTTTGTTAATTAAACACATTTCTTAGACTTTTATTAAACAATTTAAGACAAAGTAGAAAATTTGTCACATAAAAATGTTAATGGCGTGACACTGATTTGTTATCGATTAATGCATTGCGTATCGAATATTGCTTTTATGTATTAAAAATTCTACTTAAAATGCTCAACATAATCTTACAAAATAAATATTTTCTTTTATAAATTCGAGCATTTGGGGTTTTGATTTCTTCAGAACAATCAATGAATGAAATTACTTCTATAAATGCAATTCACGTATTTCATATGAATTTGATTGATTGTTTAACCTCCTTCTCAAGTTGTTTGTAAACTTCTTAAGCACTTTTAAGTATGTTAAATACACTAATCGATCAAATATAAAATACATTTCTTCTTTTATTTTTTCAAAAAATGGGTGCAATTTGATTAATTGATTTAAATCAAAACTTTTTTTATTATTATTTTATTTACAAGTCTTTCCTAATCAACATTAATATTTTTCTATAAAATATTTTAATAACTCTCAGTATATTCAATTTAATATTTTGAATCAAAAAATTTGTTTTAAAATAATTTTAATATATATATTATCTAAATATTAAGTCTTTGGTTGATACAATTCTTAGGCATACTTTCATTTTACATAATTCACAGAACTAATTATTTTTTCATATACTTGAGTATCTTTTTAGGGAGAATTTACTGAAAGAAATAGATTCAAGTTTCCACCTCTATACATATGAAGCAACCTACAGCAACTTCCTACATGAAACAGCAACAGTACAGGTGTTTATGTATTAATCGATGAGACCTCTATAATAGATTCTAAACTTCCTAGAGTAAGGCATAAGTAAAATTACTAAAACGATTGAAGTATCTCTCATTCAACAATCTTAACTTCTAAGTTAGATTATAAGCAATAAAGTAAAAGATAGCTTCTTCTAGTCTATAAGGTCCAAAAAGCTGACAATACTCGAAAAATTTTAGTTAGTTATTTAGTTCTTTCTTTATTGATTAAAACAGAAGTTCTACATACATTAGGTAGAAAAATACAATTAATTAAGAAATGTGCTACATGGTTTCAACCATTTATTGAAGACTTTGTTAATATAACAGATATGTGAATATTTCCTGGCAAACTATTGAACAATTTGAATAAGAGATTTTTTACAAACGCCTACATTTTAGTTACTTTCAAATAATTTATATTTTCATTATGTGATATATGCCCAGAGAGAGAAAGAGACTAACAACAACAACAAATATTGTAATTACAATGAAAAAGCACATAAAAATTGTTTAACTACCGTGTTACGTTGCAAAGGCGATATCTAGTAAAAGCGCGTTGAAAAACTTCTTTCTCCGCAAATTAATTTTCCTGCTGGCCAAAACGAATTAATCACTTAAAAGCAATTGCCTGTATAGCAGCTGTTGTTTGTGTTTTATATTTATTTATTTATTTAATTTTTTTGTTATGGCAACACTCTTTATTCGCTATTAGCCTTACTGATATGTTGCTGCCACTTATGCTACCTGTTGTCAAATGCCCTCTGGGCCTTATATTACAATTTCTGCCATATGAGATACCAGTTTTTGGCTGAGTACTCGTAATAGATTTACGAATACAGCTTCTATGTTACGAATAATGAGTATATTCCATTAAGTAATAATATTTCATTATTTTTTAATATTTATTCAAGTTTGCTCTTTAGGGTTATGCAGTTACAAAATGCTATATTCATAAGATAATCAATTAGGTAGCTATACCCGATTTTCACAATATATTTATATTTTTTATGATATACGTATGTACATTAAGCTTTTTTAGTTGATTAGAAAATGGTTGACATTTCATACCACTTAAATTAGTTATTCCAGTCCCTTTCGAAAATTGTTTCTCGGAAATTAATAAGTAGTTTTTAATTGTTTCTTTATTAATTTGAGTACATATTACACTTTTATTAAGTTCAAGAATAATATTTAATCAGAAATATAAAACATAAGGTAAACCGTCTACCGTAAACACTTCGAGATCTTTAAAGATAATCGATGAATGTTAGATAAAATTAAGGATATAGTAAAAAAAATTTGACAAACTACGTCTATGGATTTCTAGTCGCTGTGGCGTCCTAGCTCATGAATTGGCTAATAACTAAACTATATATGGCTCTTCTAGAACACGTACAGAGCCAGAACCAGTTGTCAACTTAACTCGACAGTATTTTTTCGTTGGAACAATTCTTTTTTTCACAAAAGAAAGTAGTCTAAAATAAAAAGCAGCACAAAGCGCTTTTTAAAACAACCTGGCAATAGGCTGGTAAAATTTTTTATACAATTAAACAGAAAGGACTCCAGAATACTGATCAAAGTCATACCGTGGCATAATACAGGGGGACACTAGATGGCTACTGTGAGTATCAACACAGATCCAACATAAGAATCATGTCTTGAGAATGTCAACAACTCAGAACATGTCATCTGTTGCTACCCAGCATTTACGAGAACAGGATTGATATCCTTGGATTATGATTTCTTGTGCATGATTATTGCTCATGCTCTCTCTCACTCTCTCTGTCCCACTCTCTCTTTTTCTTTCACTCTCTATCCCCCCCTCTCTCTCTCTCTCTCTCGCTCTCTTCCTATCCTCTTCTCTTTTACTCACTCTCTTCCTCTCTTCCTAACCTCCTCTCTCTCACTCACACTCTCTCTTTTATATATCTAAGATATTTAAATTTGGGCATGTTTCCCATCGTTTCACACACTCATATCTGACTCCCTCCAAAACCTTGATTTTAATTGTATAATCATTATTTACTCCAATCTCTACGATTTGTTTGTAATAAGGATTATATATGTATTTCTACCACTTTTGCAAGAACACGAAAAACTTTTGGTACTATTGGTAATAAGATGTCCTTATAGGTATATATCTGCACAGTTTCGAAGCCAAATTATGGCACCCCATAAACTGCTCAAACTTTTTATGTATTTAGTTGTCAATTATTTAAAAAAAAATTAAAGCGAATTGTTCATCAGACTAATCAATCATTATGATTGCACGATTTGATTTAAGATTTCTTTCGTAATATTCTGAAAACAGATTTTAGGCAATCTCATATGGGCTGTCTTGTACCATAGATATATTTAAAAGCCTGCCTGAACAATTTCAGATAATTTTTACAAATCAATTTAGAAATATTTGCATCCATCCGGTGTGCTTTATTATCTGTTAAATGTTGTATACCTAGTCTAATTTTTTCAGTTGTTATTGAGTGAGGAGCTGGAAATATTCATTTAAAATTTAATTAATATTTATATATATATATATTTACTAGTTTGCAGCTCTTTTTATTGGAATTCTTCTTTTCAAACCTTATAAATAATTATTTAAATGAACTTTTCTTCCTACAAACGTTTGTATTTGGTATCTCCACTTTTTCTTCAGTTATTTCGAATTGCAATTAAATAAATTAGGCCGCTATTGAATAGTTTTTCAAGCACTACATCACGAATCGAAGTTTTTTATTGAAATATTTTTCAATGTCGGCAAAATTCCTGTTTTTGTTTTTAATTTATTGCGAACTGTTTTTAGTTCACATCTATAAGATTATATACAAAAAAATTTCAGCCCAGTTTCCTGTTTAACTAACTAGCAAAACTAACTTCTGAATTGCTTTTTATGTCACTGGCCTGACACTCAGATGGCGCTGATATGCTGCACCACCTGACATGCGCAACAAATTTGCTTTCATTTCAAATCCGGAAACTTTTTTCCACTACCACAAATACAAAGCTTTCCATTACATTTGCTATGGTGAAAAGTTGTCCACTCCTGTTGAAAAGTGGTGAAAAATTTTATTAATTTGTAATTTTTCTGTTGAAGCAAAATCCATGTTGACACTTTCCTATGCAGAAAGAATGCTGTCGAAGCATTTACATGCTACCGAAAAGCATGTTAAAAGCTTATGCATGTTGTTAACTACTCGTTGAGCTTTAGCTTTATACTAAGAACTTAATTTTTACTCAATTACCTAAAAAAATTGTAATCACATATAATATTTATTTTTTTATTTTAGAATCATTCTCCATGGCTATACGACAATGTCAAATGCTCGTGATTTAACATTACTAGAGAAATGGTCTGACGCTGCAACAATACCAACAATACTTCCTCCTATATCACCAACTTCGCCAAAGGCTACAAAATTTTGTTGTTGTCCCAATCGCAGGCGTTATAATCTAAAACAGCCAAAAAAGTCTACACTGCATGCTAGAAATATTTTTATCGATAACGATTTTAATTATATTGATGATGTTTCCCATGAAAATTACAAAAGCAACAACAACCAAACACCTATATCCTCAAGCGCTATCTCAAACAACAAAAGACCAACAGTTAAATACAAAAGAATTGGTGACACCTTTGCAACCTACAACGATTCAGATCTAACAGCTACAGCTGCACCAACAATCCAAGCTCCACTAACACCAACAACAACAGCAACAACTACAAATACAACTCCAACGACAATAGCAAATTACGAAGAAAGTTACAGTGACTATGATGATATCATTGATATCCCCAGTGATACTGAAAACTATGTTGTGAATGTAATGAACGGCATTGGAATTCAACCGCACCAACAAACAGAACAACAATTGCAGTTGCAGCATCAGCAAAGGCAGGATAGCGACGCAAGTTCACAATGGCGGCATGACAAAAATTGTCATTATCTGAAACAGATTGACAATTGCAACAGTTGTAGCTGCTTTAATGACGAACAGTGCATAACAGAAGTAAATCAAGAAAAATTGCAGATTGCAAATAAAATTGCAGCAACAATAAATTCAACGAAAAATTTTGAAAAAAATTGCTCTGTCACAATACCAAACCAAAGTGTTAATGACGACTTTGTTGCTGCAACCACTGATGCCGCAACCGAAGCGAGATTAACAAAAAGTGAACGACTACCACAGCAAGATCAGCAACATTATCAACAGCAACACAATCAAATTAACGGTGACAAGGGCAACAAAAACGACAATCAAAGCGAATATCGTAACGATCATAGCAATCAACAAATCCAAAGACTAAGCAATAGTGAATTTAGAGTTAATAATAAGGAAAATAATATAAGCAACTGCAACGGAAATTGCAGTAATTGTATTAGCAGCTCAACCAAAACAATAGCAACAAGAGCTGCAACAACAGAACATAACAATTGTTTTAATAAAAGTTGCTGTAATTATTGTCAAATAAAAACGCTTAAAACTTATCACAAAACGAATAGCAACGGTATTTTCGAAAACAATTGCAGCAGTAACTGCAACTGCAATAGCAACAGTAACAGCAACAGCAGCAGCAATAGCGATAGCAACAAAGCTAAAATTGACGATACGACGCAGCATAAAATGACAATTACGACAACGAATGTAGCACATCGTAAACGTAGTGAGTGTGGGTTGACAACAACGGCAACAATAACAGCAACTACTCCAACAACATCGACAGTATCAACATCTCTGCCAACAACACCAACATCACCTAATTTTCCACATCATTTAACGCCTTCTCGAACAACTGTGATCAAAACAACAATGGTAAAAAGAAGTCCTCTTCAAGAGACTGCAATACCAGCAACAACAACAATTGCAACAGCAGTTGCAACAAATACTGAACGACCGAGCACAATGTTGCAACAAACAGAAATTTTTGATAATATGTTGCACAATAACAGCAACACAAACGGTATCAACGACAACAATAATGATGTTGCCTATGAGCCGAAAAGATCTGTCAAAGAACGCATTGCAGCAATTGTTGCCGGAAATGGTAAGTTGCTTAAACATATGTTTGAATCTATATTGTAAGCTACTATTGGCACTTATTCCTATGTCAGGTAGACTACAAACTGTTGAAAAGAGAGCACCTTTATGTATCGTTTATGGTACAATAATAAATCATTAAATTGTAATAATGTAATAATGTTAATTGATTATTATATTATCTTATAATAATTGTTAACAGTACTTAACAGAACTTACGCGTTTCTTTAAAATCGAAAGGTGTTATAATTATATCATTAGCGATTTATAAAAAAAAATAAAAAGCTGTATTGCCTACTGCCATTTTTTCTCCAAAACGTATTAGAATTGTAGTAATTTGCTCCTAAAATGCGCAAATTTTGAAATATATTACTAAGCAACACTATTTTGCCTTATTATTTCGGCCATATTGTTTTTTCTCTCATTCTCAAATTTAAAATTTGCATTGAAAACAACACCAATTGTACTCATGCCGTGCCCGAGACACTCTGCATAACATGGCCCCAAGAAAGACTTATATTGGTCACCTTATTAAACGTTATAATGACTTTGCCTTATCTACACCTTTGTTATATTGTGAGTGAATGTACATAATGCAGCTAAGAATATATCATTTGCCATAGTTATAGAAGCGATGTATATATTATACTTCCTTCATAAGTACAAAATCTATCAAAAATCTATATTTTATTTGAAACCAATATAACTTCTTATTCGCACAACGAATTAGACAACTACTTTTACAAAAAATATAATTTAAAATGTTAATTTGATTTTTGAATATATGACCGAGGAATGTCATATTAAATATTTGATCTTTTTAAGAACTTGCCTGTTTTAATTAAATCAACGTCGCCCCTTTTTTTTTTGAAACATGATGAACCTATCGAATTATGACGATTATAATATATATCTACGAATCGAAAGCCTCCAGACTGCTATTATTATTACATTTTTCGCGTCCAAGTCTTTATAACGCAGAGAAATATTGAACACTATATTTTACTGGGAAGATTATTTTTAAGATCTAAATATAATATGCAATTGAGCGAGATGATAACAATACCATCCAATGATAAAAAACAGCGGATAATTTTTATATTAACTAATGCATTATTTATGATTTCGATTACAGGCCATAGAAGAAGATAGAATGCACATATGTATGGTATCCCGGATATACATTTAACGCTTGATATTTTTGATTTTTTTTTGTTTAAACCTGAAGACATCTTAAACATATATTTTTTTTTTCGATCCTTTCCTTAAAATCACTTTAAGAACTATCCATTTTCAATAGTAACTAAGAGATGCCGAAGGAAACGACTCCGGAAAAATTCTTTAAAACCTTCAAAACCTCTTTTAGTAAATGTTTTTTTAAATATTTTATTAAATAAACATTTTTAGATCTTTATCTATCCGCCGACTTTATATATATTTTTGCTCTTTTCACTAATTGAATTTCACTTGGATCCGACTAAATTTTTAAATAAACCTCATTTATTTCATAATTACATCACAGTTTTTTAAATTTGAATGTCTAAATAGACAACTCCGTGTTTTTAGTACAATTAGGTAGCACTTTTATTTGGTATTTATTTTTCTATCATATTTTATTTATTGGCCCGATTTACACTATCATAAACATGAACTTGAAAACCGGTTATTTATAGGTGAGAGAGGCAAGAGATTGTGAAGTGAGTTCATGAATTTCAGGCAATGAAATTTGTTGAGTTTTTTCAGCTTGACACGCATACATATGCAATGTTATGTTTATGTATACCTTTTAATACTGAATAATACTTTTAATACTGCATTTATAAAAAAAATTAATTGGAAATATCCACAATAAAATTGGGTCGTCAAAAATGTACTAGTTTTTGAAAATGAGTACCAAACGAAAAAAAAAAAAAAAAAGAACCAATTTTGGTACTAAAGTACCATAAGTGGCAACCGTGGTTAACACAAAACAAAACAAATTTCACGCTCATGAGAGTTCGTGATAGTGTAAACTGAACTGACAGTTCATGTTGTCGTCAAGTTCATCTCACGTTCACGATAGTGTAAATAGGCCCATTTGCTGTTTTCTGACTTAATGTTTATGTTTATGTTAAATCGATATTGGCTGCATAAGAGAGTGAAATAAAGGAACTTATTTCGTTCGAGATAAATCATGAATTTGTGCATGCTTCTCTAAAGTAAAGAGGGTCACTTCTTAATTGATATTAATCCAATTTATTTTAATTTTTTGTACCCATATAAATGCTTTTCATATAAAAGTTCACACTCTTAAAAAATTTGAATTTTGAAATCAACTCTCTATCACTTAGTTTTTCATAAAATTTCTACTATCAATCATATCTGGTCTTCTAATACTTATAAGATATAAGAAAACATCAAAGACTGTGAAACGTGACACTATAATATAAAATTTACATTACTTAAAATGTGAAAAAGTAAAACGTAGTTGTTTTGGTCATCAATTCGGATACGATTAGTCATTTCATAATTGATGTTAATTAAAAATTACAAATAATTTTGAGTCACGATTAGACAAATAAAATCTCATCATAGTGTAATTGCAAAAATTATTTATATTCCAACAAAAAATATACAGCAAAATTCAAGAAAGAGTTCGATAAGATTACCATGTAGTAATTATCTTGGACAAGAAAGACTTAGTGAAAATGCGATACTTCTCTTCTCGGTGGTCTTTCCAGAAAATTTACTGTCAAAGATGTTCTTTTATACTTAAATGATTACATGGATTCATTTCTACTTGAAATATCAAATTTCTAACGCTCGGTACTCACATGTAGTCACACCAATATTGTTGGTTGGGGCGTGAGTCTTCCGCATTTACCAGTCAAAACATCACTCATTTCTGTATGAAAGTACAAATTGCAATGCTTACTTATGCGTGCACAAAGATACATGTCATTAAGGCTATAGTATGACTTGATACTCGTACACTATGTATCTTCACACAAGCTGCCATGTGTAATATCTTTTGCACATATATTTTCTTATTAATAATTCATAACGTTTTACAGTAATTTCCGTTAAGAAAAGGCGTACTAACGGCAACACACACAAGTCACAATATAAATCAATTAAATGCTGAAGTACATTTAAGAGAGAGAAAAATGTGTGGAAATTATAAAAAAGAAACAAAAATATGTAATAATTATGAAAAAAGCGATACTGATTCACTCTTATTTCCATTGAATTTTAATGTTTAATACTTTAAAATATGTATTGCATTTCAACACTAAACAATGTTTTATTAAAGAAATTATATTGTTATTATTGAATATTTTATTTAATTTAATAAGTATGTCATCTTTGGTGTCCTCCATCGTCAACACATCAAAGAGTTTAACATAACCCAATAGCTTTAGTCAGATTCCGCTATATCGCTTTCGATTAGAATCAAGACTCTTTTGTAATAAGATTTGCCAAAGACACCGGAATATTTAAAATTTTTTTATTTATATATTTATATTATTTTATATATATGTTATATTTATATTTTTTTATATATATATTCATATATTTTTTTAATTTAAATAAATAAGTACCTATTATTCTAATTATTCTTATGACTTTTCTCTTGGATGCCATATTTGGATATATGTGTATATATATAAATCAAAAATGGATATATTTGGCTTTGTGGATATCGCTAAACTTAAAACACAAAAGAAAGAAGTACACCTAAAACATGTGATAAGTACAAAACAGTTTTTTAGAACAAGATATAGGTGAATAAAACAAGTTAAGTCGAAATTACGCTTAAACATAATAGCTTCGTAGGGTTGCCAGATAAGAGTTCTTAAAGGCAATCAAAACAAATTATAGTAATGTCTGTATCACTAGCAAAAGTATTTAATGCAGTATCACGGACGAGATCGGTAGTTCTAAAAAATGTTAGTTAAGTTCTCGCAAAAGCTGCGTAAAAAAGGGGGTAAAGAAACACCTCTCTAGTTAAAAAGCTTACTATGGAACTAAGATAAATAGATAAAACACATTTGGTAGAGGTATATATAAGTCTGCGTTATGCATATCATCGTAACGATAACAGAGGAAAATCATTAAAGACGATTAATAAAGCTATATATCGGTTAAGATACATATGTTATTAATGAAAAAGTTTAATGCACTTTACGGTCGAGATCAATTGCTATTAATAATTTTAGCCAAGTATTTAAGAAAGTTGGGTAATAAAAAGGTGTATTCTCAAAAGCCTTTAATTAAACAAATATATGAATGTGTGAAGAAAAGAATATTAAATGAAAATATTTTTAAGCTTAATTTTTAACTTTGTATCCAGAAACATTTTATTCTTAAATGACATTGTGCTATACGACAAGTAAAATAAAATTACTTGCATCCGTAAAATATATGCAAATAAAAGGTAAAAAGATTGAAATTTTCTCAATTACTCTAATTCTTTAAGTAGTAGTGGTGGGTTCATTATAGAAAAATCTTAAACTAAAATTAGGAAGAGATCAATATAAAACTATTTCTATAATAATAAAAGATTATGCATCTGCAGTAATTCCTAAAACAAATATTGAATTAAATAGATATGAGCATTTTTAAATACAAATGCCAAGAGAAGATTTGTGGATCTGATAGCAATCTTTGAAATTAAGTCATATTTAACTACATATTGTGTTTTACATAAGAGTTTGCAAACATAGTATAAATCTATTCTTAAATATCATTTGTATTCTTTTCATTCCTGCTCTTAATTAGTCAAGTGAATCTAGTATACAAATCACTTGCAGTATTACCTCGTAAGATACAACAAAAATGTGAAGCAGTCTTCGAAATACATCATATTCGTTTAGTAGTCTATGGTAATAACTCAAAGGTTGGCATTAACCTGTATTCTGGATACGCCAGTTGATATTAAGTTATGCGCAAACAATATTGTTCGGACGCACGCTCACTGCACTCGAGGACAATTCAACCTCAACTTGAGACATTGATTGTACAATAGCAAAGCCAATGCCGCTAATGTCTGCTGACATTATAAT